TAGGTTGTTTTGCATGAGGGAACAAGGCAGGCAGCAAGGGAAGTGGAACAGAGGGAGGGTGTTCTGTGAAAGAGGGCTCTAGGAACACAGTGGTCCCTCGATGCAGCCCTGGGCTTGGGCTGCAAAAGCCACTGTGTGCAAATGCTGCGGGGAAATCCAGCTCCCATCCACACAGAAGCAGAGGGGAGTATTTAAAGGTCCTTGGTAGGACGAATGGACTGCCTGGACATGCCCAAAATGTGTCCTGACATGTCCTGTCCGCACATCCCAAGGTCCCAGGAGTGGGATCCGGTTACAGGCGACACAGAGCAAACAAAGGGTCGAGCTGACAAAAGACATCCAGGCACCAGAATAGGTGTCGAGGTGCTGAGCAGAGCCCAGTGCCCTGGAGCCAGGGGAGAGATAAGCTCTGAGGAGCCTGGTCTGCCTGACCTTGGTCTGGACTGCCGGGAATGGGGACGTGCTGGAGAACATGGGCTGAGGGAGCAGCTCGGGGGTTAAAGGGGGTTTGTTTTCTGCCCCTGCCCTCCCTCTCCCCCCAGTCGCATTTCACACGGTTCAGTCACGGCCTTATTTCACAACCGTGTGTTTTGAAAGGACTTATTAGCTCTAAGTGTAGGCTGGGCTTTAGAGTCTTGCTTTATTGTTTACCCTGCCTGCTAGGCCTGTTTCTGGGGTCAGACCCGGGTTACCAATTACAGCTGTGATTAAACATATTAGCCCAGCTTACCCCTGGGCTTTTTTCCCCTTAAATTCCCAGTGATTGTGCTTAACTGGTGTTAGCAACCAGGTGGCTGCTGGCACTGCCGGCACAGTTGTCTGTGCCTCCTCCGGCACAGCCACGTAATGAGATTTGAGCCGGCCCAATACATCTATTATTTTTACAGTTCTGGATTGTTCCCAGAAGGTTGTTTTTTTTTCCCCCCCTTAACTTAAAGAAAGCCAGCCCTTGGCTCCTCAAATCTCCACAGACAACCTCCAAACCCTCCCCAAAGGCTGGGGGAAGTGACAGCTCGTTTAGCGATCTGGGGGACACGTCTGATGAGGAGGATTTGAATGTTAATTCTTGATTCTGTGGAACTATTTTCCTGCCTGTAACAGGGGGTGCAGACTCCCACTGTGGCCGTGTGACAGCTCTGATGGTGTTCTGGGACGGCTTGAAATTGGGGTTTGTGTCTCATGCCTCATAAACTTGAGCCCAGCAGAATTAAGGGTGTCGTCACCCCCAAAAAAGCATAACGAGCCCGAGCGCAGCGTGGGAACTGTTGCCTTCTAGGTGAACATAAAACACCACGAGTTGCTGACTTGCAAAGCCTCAGTCCCTGTGAGCAGCCTGGGCTGTCCCTGCCGAGTTTTTAACCCTTGATTGAAAGCCAAATGTTCCCCTTTTATTGTAAAATTTCCAGCTCGACTGGTTTCGAGCCTCATTTGGATAAACAGGCCCAGAGTGTTTGAAAGCACATCCGAACTCCTGATTCCTGTCAAACCAGTTGCAGACCCAGCCTGGCCAATCGCTGGGGAGAAGTTTATTGGGTTTGGGTTGTTTTTTTTAAGTTGAAATCTAAATGCTCTCAGCCATTTCCAGCTAAACACAGGGCGGAAACTAATCCAGCCAGAACAGCATTAAACCCAGCTCTAACTTCTCTTCTTAAAATGAATTTTATTTTCTAATTGTTTGTTTGCTCTGTAACTCCTCAAAGCAGTTTGAAAGCGTGCATTAAGCCTCATGCCCTGTCTTTAAGACTGCAGCCTTGTAACAGGGCCAGAAATTATGGGCACATAACCCGCTTAGAGGTCCTTGAGCTCCACAGGAAATCTCCTATTGGAAGGGCTTAGCGGAGACAATCAGATTTGGGAGCCCAGGGCCTGTGTCCCACCAGATGAACACACCCCAGACAAAGGCCCTGAGCTGGGCACTGGGAGCCTCTGGAAAGGTGGTGACTAAGGATAAATGGAAGATCTGAATTTGGAGAATGGTGCCACCACTTACTCCATCCCTGGCAGAGCAGGGGGGACCAGGGGAACCTGCCTGCCCAGGGTGGCTCATCAGCAGCACTTAATGAGCACAGTTACCCCTAATGGCAAATAAATAGCCCTGGCTATGAGTGCTATTCTTGGCAGGCTGGAGGACAGACTTGCTACAACTACTGTCCAGTCACTCAGGACTGGTTGATACCATCCAAGTATTCCTTCTGAATGGGAGAAACCAGCCCTTCTCCCCGTTCCCAGCTGGTCTGGTTGGATGGTGAGCTCAGCCCAGGCCTCTCCCGTGGGTTTGGGAGAGCCAAAAAAATACATAAATAAAAGTTGAGGGTTTATTTTCGCCGTGGCTTTTCCTGCTGCCTTTGCACAAAGGCATCTCCCACTGGGATGGTTCCCCTGCTCCCCGGGTTTGTGCTGCCAGTGGCTGTGCCCACGCGCTGGGAGCGTGGCTGGCTCACAGCACAGGTGTGTTTAAAGCACTGGGGCTCTGCGTGGACAGGCTGGGGCTGGGTGTTTATCCAGCCTCATCCAGGGGCCTCTGGCTGCAGGATAACCAACCCCCTGCAGCGAGCTGGGCTCCGGGTTTCACAGGCCCCCACGGGCTCTTTCATGTGTGTTGCTGACTTAAGGGGGAAAAAAAAAAAAAAAAGTCCTTAGACTTTAATCCTTGGGTTTATTTCAAAGCTTACAAAGGCAAATCTGGTTTATAGCAAGAGATTTGCTTGATTTCTTCTGCTCTGTGGATGAATGGAGTGGCAGATGGAGCAGGGAGGGGAGGACTCGGGGAACCCTTGGCTCTATCTCCTTGCAAGCTTGACCCCACCCTGTGCCTGCTGCACTTGTCTTTGAGCTGCACAGAGCACGAAACGGGGTCAGCACAGAGCCCTGCTTGGCCAGGATCTGTTATATCCACCTCTTCTATGACTTCAAAAGCCATTTTCTTCCTCTGAGCTCTGGCTCGATGGTCACACTTTGCTGCACAGCCACCGGCTCGTCCTGTGGGTGTGACACCCTGTGTACAGTGTGTGCACCCAGGAGTGACAGGGGTGTGTGAGTAAAACGAGCTACAGACTGCAAGCAAAAGACCTCAAAAAATCCTATTAGACCCTGGAGCCATGGGAAATAATTGGAGTTTGAGAGCTGTGTGAAGAGGTGCTGGAAAGGCTCCTGGCCTGTCTGTGACATCCCCCCTTTTGCGGGGCAGGGGTGGGTGATGCTCTCACTGCCCCTTGCCAAGCATGGTGCCCACATGGGACAGGACCCCGAGGGGCTCGGGGAGAGCCCCACTGATGTGGGATGTGCTGGGGCTGAGCAGCCCCAGGCTCATCCTTATCAGGGAGCACCTGATAAGCGACAGGAGCAGCACTGTGGGAACGCTGCTCCGCGGGCACAGGCAAATCCACACGAGCTCCTTCCCTGCCCCATCTGCTCCAGCTGCACCCACTGCTTGTGGAGATGCCAAATGAGGCCCCAGCCACAGGAGCAGAAAGAGATCTCACTGGGGATCACATCAGAGCTGTGGCTTCAGATCCTCCCCCGGTGCACGCTGAGGAGGCATCTGGGGCTGGGAGACAATGGCCTGGAACAATCCCGGTCCTCTGCCAGGGAATATTCATTCACAGTGCTGTCCTGGTTTGATACTAACTCTCTCATGGTTGATCAAAGCAAAGGCAAGCAAAGAGCTTGGCCTCCCACTGTTCTTTAGCTCCGGGCCAGTTTCAGCAGGAGCTGGGCCAGTGTTTCTGCTGGGCAGCGTGGCTGGGCAGCTGGGCCAGCTGGGCCAGCTCCCGGCATTGTCGTGGCTTTAAGGTGCTCCTTCATCTCCCACAGCATCAGGGCTTGTGCTGCTGCTGCTCTCCCCTCCTGCTGGGCTGGAGGAGGCACCCGAGGACGTTCTGCTCCGCGCCTGCCTTGGCTTGTTCTCCCTGCTCCATGATGGGACACGTCCTCCTGCATCCCGCTCTTCCTCCAGCCTGGCTTTTGGCTGGAAGGAGGCACCGAGTCCCGGGGTGTCTGTCCTCACCCCAAACCCCCCTCAGGCAGTGAGATGAAGGTGGTCGTGGCAGTGCTCCCCTTCATCTCCCTCACCTGCCTGGGACAGTGCAGGCGATGGCAAATTCTCCCTGCACTCCTCGGGGATCTCTGGAAAGGGTTTGGCCTTGTCTGGGGGACAAGGATCTGTGAGTGTGTATTGGGGAAGGAAATTTGGTGATGGAAACACTGCTGGGGAGAAAAGACCCCCCTGTAGGGGGTTTTCTCTGGAGTCGAAAGGGCACGTGGGCTGCTCTGGCATCTGGAGGAGGGTTTTGGAGGGGAGATCTCAGAGCCTCTTCAAAGGGGCTCCAAGAGAGCTGGAGAGGGGCTTGGGACAAGGACCTGGAGTGACAGGACAAGGGGGGATGGCTTCAAAATGATAGAAAATAGTTCTAGATTGGGTATTAGGAAAAACTTCTTTACTGTGAGGGTGGTGAGGCACTGGAATGGATTTCCCAGAGAAGCTGTGGCTGCCCCATCCCTGGAAGCATCCAAGGCCAGGACGGGGCTTGGAGCAACCTGGTCTAGCGGAGGGTGTCCCTGCCCACGGCAGAGGGGTTGGAACGAAACGATCTTCAGTGTCCCTTCCAACCCACCCGATGACTCGATGATTCCACTGCTCGGGGCGGCTCTGCCGTGGGCGACTGCCAAGGAGCCGCAATCCCGCGACCCCCGGAGCGCACGGGGGCCGTGCCGCGGGTGGAGTGTGTCCCTGTCCCTGTCCCGTCCCTGTCCCGTCCCTGTCCCGTCCTTGTCCCTTGTCCCCCCCCGGGTCACCCCGAACCTGCCCCGTAACCCCCCCCCCCCCCCGCGCTGTGACGTCACCGCTCTCTCGCGCTGATCTCACGCGCTATTAGCATACCGGGATTTGCATACTCCTCGTTTGCATAGCCCCTCAGCCAATGGGGGCGCGCCGCCGCCGCGGCCCCGCCCCTCCCCGGCCGGGCATAAGGCGCGCGCGGCGCCGCCGGCGCAGAACGGGCGGAGCGGAGCCCTCAGAGCGGGAACCCCCCCCCATCCCACCGGGAACCCTCGATCCCAGCGCCGGGATGAGCCACCGCCACGGCCCCCGCCGCGGGCCCCGCGCCGACATGGTGCCCGAGATCGCCGCCGCCGTCGGCTTCGTGTCCAGCCTGCTGCGCACGCGGGGCTGCGTCAGCGAGCAGCAGCTCCAGGTCTTCAGCGGGGCGCTGCGGGAGGCGCTCGCAGGTGAGTGCGGCGAGAGAAGCCCGCTCGTGGCCGGGCTCCTCCTGTCCCCCCTCGGGGCCAGGCGCCCACTGGTGTCCTTCCCCGGTGCTCCCAGAACCGGCTGTCCTTCTCCGGATGCCCCCCGCCGTGTGGATCCCAGGACCTGGGATAGGACCGGGGTGCCCTCCGGGTGCCCCCCTGTGTTGCTCCCAGAACCGGTGTCCCTCCCTGGGTGCCCACCTGTGTCCCCTGGGGTTGGGCACGCATCGGTGCCTTTCCCTGACACCCGCCTGTGCCATCCTTGACGCCGGATGCCTCTTCATGCCTTTGCCTGGGTGCCCACCCGTGTGTCCCTGGGGACTGGCACCCACCCGTGTGACCCCAGGGCACCCACCTGTGTCTCCATGGGGTCCTGCGTGAAACTGCCTCATCCTGGGAGCGAGCAGATCCCCTGCCCGGCCTCCGAGGGCTTTGTGCTCCCTTTTGAAGCCCTCCTTGCTGAGGGTGGATACAGACGATGCCAAGCCAGTCTGTACCCCCTCCCTGTGTCAGCAGAGTCTGGCACTCCCCTCCCCACGGGCACGTCTGGGCTCGGCACGAACTGGGTGGTTCAGGGGTCCCCTCCCAGCCCGTCACAGCCGGCTGTTATCGTTCCGAAGGAGGGATGGTTTGTTTGTTGCTGTGCTCAGATAAGAGGTAGCAAAGCGCTCCTGAACTTAGAGAATGACCTGGATGTTGCTCCCGGGCCGCGGTGCTTTGGGGGGGGGGTGATAGGGTATCTGCCCTGGCAGCCTTGGGGTCCCTGCACTGCCCTCCGGGGGTTTGTGGGAGCCGAGGAGCCGCACCTTGGAACAAGCAGTGACCAAAGAGTGGAGCACTCAGCTCCAGAGGCAGCCTGAGGAGCACTCCTGAGGAGCCCCAAGCTCCCTCCAGGAGATGTGGGAGCCCTCGGGACGATGGAGGGACACGGACCCCCTCCACGCCTGCTCACTGCTCCTGTCCCTTCCCTTGCAGAGCACTACAAACACCACTGGTTCCCCGAGAAACCCTTCAAAGGCTCCGGGTACCGCTGCATCCGGATCAACCACAAAATGGACCCCATTATCAGCAAGGCCGCGAGCCAGATCGGACTGAGCCTCCCGCAGCTCTACCAGCTCCTGCCCAGCGAGCTCACGCTCTGGGTGGACCCCTACGAGGTGTCCTATCGCATCGGCGAGGACGGCTCCATCTGCGTCTTGTACGAGGCCTCGAAGCCCCCCAGCTCCTACGGGATGCTCACCTGCAAGAACCAGATGATGCTGGGCCGCACCAGTCCTTCCAAGAACTACATCATGACTGTCTCCAGCTAAATACTCCTCTTTGTCCTTACACTGCCAAGACACAGGCTACTGTAATACCTCACCCGAGGATCTATTTTTAAGATGAAGAGCTATTTATATTTTTTAAAAAAATCCAAGAAAATCCAAAATTAAAATATCGGGCGCCGCTCTGAACAGAGGCGGGGCTCCAGGTGCCTTTTTTTAAAGCTGTTGCAAGCTTGTGAGTTTTTCTTATGAAGCCGATATCTACCTAATTAGTGTTGGATGGCGATTTTGGGCTGGCTTGCTCACTTGGGCAGCTCGGAATGGAGGATGAGGGGGAAGAGCCAGGCTGGGAAGTGTGGCTGGTGGTGGGAGATGTGTCACCTTCTCCCCATCCTGGTTCCCAGCACTATTGCTGTATCACCAGGTATTGCAATACTGCTGAGAAGGGGGGGAAGGAGGTGCTGCCTTCCCTTCGCTGCTTCACTCCCCAGCTGGTTTGATCTCTCTGGGGCCTGGATATAGTTCTGGGGGAGCCTTGCCTCGGGGCTGGGTGATGCTGGGGACCCTGGGGTCCCTCTCCTTTGCTCTCACACATCTCCTGGACCTGCTCAGTGTGTGTTGCAGCTCTGCTCTGCCCCACTCCCAGCACAGCGAGGGGAGCTTGCCCTGCCTCCAGCCCCTCCACCTTCCCTGTCCACTGCTGGGCTGGAAGGGCCACGCTGGAAGTGGAGCAAGGCAGAGGTGCTGCACTGGGGGTGCAGAGCTGTGCCCAGGATGACTCGTGCAGCTGCTGTGGTGGCACTGGAGGACTGTTTTCCCTGGTGCTCCCAGTCCCTGGCTGTCTCCCACGCTGCACGCGGAGCCGGGCGCTCCAGAGCCCGAGACCAGCACGGAACAGCTGGGAATTACAAAGCCTTTCTGCTCTGTGTGGCTCAGACATCAGCCCAGACCTGCTCTTGTGTGGCCTCCCAGTGCTCCCGGGCGTGGGCTTGGCCTTCTGCCTGCACAAGTTGCCCAGTCCAGCGCTCCTGACTTGAGTGTCACTTCTCCAGAAGAGCTGAAGCAACTCTCCCTGTGCTGTGGAGGTTGGTGTGTGAGAACCCCTTTGCTGCCCTATTTCTAAAATCAGAAGTGTTGGGGGGCTCTTCCCCCTGTGTGTGGGATGCTCAGATGCTTTGGTGTCCTAACTTTGCATTTAAAGTCACAGGACTTCCCTCTCCTCCTCTCCTGTCCCTGTGACCTGTCTCCAGTGACCCTGTGGTAAAGGGCATTGTTTGCTTCTGATCTTGTGGAACATAACTTTTGCACAATTAATGCCTGGTCCTGTGCTCTGCCTGTTCCAGCAAAGCTCCTTTTTGCAGCCCAGTGGAACCTGTGTTCAGGGAGACTCTGCCCAGGTGTTGTTCAGGATTTGGCCTTTAAACTACAAATGGGGTGGGAGCTAAAGGGCTGCCCTAAACTTCACCTGCCTGTTGGGAAGGAGCCTTTACAGGGATATTTGTATGTCCTTGGCCTTTTTACCAACCCACTGGTGCTCCTCCATTGATCCCAGGAGAAGGGATTGGAGCAGAGGGCATTGACATGGTTGGTTGTAGCAAAACTTCCCAGATTTGTCTCTCAGCCTACTTTAAACCTTCCTCTCTCCTGACCTGGCAGCTAACTGGCAAAACCAGAGTTGTTCCTGCCCAGCCTATGATGACTCAAGTTCTCAGACATTTGTGCAATATATTTCCAAATCTTGGGCTCTCTGGGAGAGGAAGGAAGCTCCCAACTGCCACAGTTCTTACCTTGGTCTTTAATATATTAAATAATCCAGCACAGCTCCCCAACTCTGACTACTAACATGGAAAAGTTCAGATTTTTGTGAGCTTCAAATCATCAATTCCAGAACTGGAAAATCAGCCTTGACTCTAAAATGCTTTTTAAATGTCAAGTGGTTGTTTGTCCCTGAGCAGTAAGAGCAGAGTGTGGCCCTGGAGTTGCATCACTTCCCTCTGCGCCACCGAAATCTCTCACGTCAGCAAAGCAGAAGCTGAAACAAAGCACTTGGGGCTTTTCCCATGGTGAACTTGTGCAATAGGTGACCTCACCGAGAGGGGAGCGCTTGGAAACTTCCAAAAAAACCAATTCCCTTTTCAGGGAAAAGGGATCTCGGTGCTTTTTGGAGTCCTCCCTTGACCTGCTTGCGTGGAAAGCCCACGATGAGACCTGCACCCAGCAGGAGCTCTGCTGGGCTCCTGGGCTGGCTGTGGAGGCTCCTGAAGGCTGGTACTTCCTTGGGTTGCAATTTGTCAGGATCAAAGCAGTCTTAAGATCTACACCCCCCTTTTTAACTCTATTCCCTCCCTCTTCCCAGAAGAGTTTTCCAGGAACAACAGCCCCCACCAAAGGAATACACTATAACTGCTCTTAACGTGCCCCCACCTCCAGAACCAAAATAGCCTCATTCTTGTTATCCCTGGTGTGGAGGAGCCTAATGTTAAAGGTGTCTGTTTGTAGCTTCAAAACCAACCAAATTTGGGTATAACCCCTTTCTCTTGTAGCTGGTTACACGTAAAAGCTGTGAATTCGTGTGCTCTGTTGCCTTCTGCCTACGAGCCTGATGTTCACCTGCAGAGCCGAGTGATGTGGAGTTTGGGACAGTGTATTTGAGGGGTTTTCTGTCATTTTTTTTTTTTTTTACCAAGCTGGACTGTTGAACGGGACCTGCTTTTTGTATTTGGTTGAAAATGGTAGAAAGTCTGTAAGGACTTGGAGGAGGGAGTGGGTGGTTACTAATGTACAGTAGTATTTTATATCCAGAGTGTACAGATCCTTTGACGGACGGATGCTTTTGTTACTTTAATAAAAATGTAGCATTATAACCAAGGCCTGTGTTCTTCCTGGGAGCTGCCCTGTGCTGGTGGAGAGGGTGAGGGTTGGGATTGCAGCCCAGATCCCACACTGGGAATGCCACGGGCTCGGTTGGAGTGTGGGTGACTGCGAATATCCGGCTGCGTCACAGAGGAGGTTTAGCAAAAAGCTGCTTAGTCAACGTGCTGACTCCAAACCTGACCCTCTAAACTCCAGGAATTAAGGCTGGGAATTGGTCTGGTGACTAATGCTGGGCTGTGGGTGTCCTGCCCTCCTCCTTCCCCATGCTGGGCTCTGCCTTGGGCAGCAGGGGATTAATTCTACGCTGGATTGTGGAAATCCTGTGTCCTGCCAGGGCGGGAAGGTGTGATGGACCCAATCCTAGGAACAGCTTAAATGGAGTCTGGGAAAGAAGGGATTAATGGTCTGAGGGAGCCATGGGGCAGTTCCTGGTGAAGCCTCCTTGCCACCACTGCCCTTCCAGGGGTGACTGAGCCAGCAGAGGAGGAAGGGTGAGGGATCACTGGATTGCACTGAGGCATGTGGGGGATGCTCTGGGCCTGTCACGATAAAGGCACCCGGGGCTGAGTCACGGCAGATCCTGTTTGGGCTGTGTTGGGAGGCTGGTGACCTCAGCATGGAGCTGTGACCCTGATCCCCGGGACAGGGACCCCCCTCCGGGAGCAGACCTGGCTAAATCAGCTTGTGCTGCTTCTGATCCAAAGCTCCATTTTTATGGAGCTCAGGAGGGCTTGAGTTGCAGCCTGCCAGTGTCCCTCTGACCCAGCCCAGGCTGCTCCCTGTGCCCTCCTGGAGTGGGGATGCCAAGGGGGGACACAGCCCTGGTCCCACCACTCTCCCTGGAGAGGGCAAAGCAGCTCCTCCCCTCCTGCCTGTGTAACAACGTGCCACCTCCCAGAGGAAAACAATTTGTGGGCAGATTTGGGTGCCGGGTCAAAGCCGCTCCTGTTTGAGCTCATCCCTTCATTAGTTTGCATAAACACACCCGAATTGCTGCTGCTTGTGAAACAGGGCTGGTGGGGAGGGACGGCCGGCTCGGCTGCTGATTAGCTGGGGAGTCACCCAGGTTCAAAGGCTTGGGGAAGTCAGGTGATGGTGGCCTTCCTCCCTCTGGCTTGCCCAAACCAGCGTGGGCTGCCAGGACATGATCCCGGGCTCCAGGCCCGTTCCCAGGCTGGTGCAGTCCGTGCCATGGCCAGCCCGGTGTGCTGTGACCTGTGCCTGGCATTTGGGCCAGCAGGCAGGGCCAAGATCAGCTGAAATTTGGGCTGCCCCTAGCCAAGATAAAAATACAGCTCTTACGCCATGGATTGGAGTGAGGAGTCAGCGCTTGGCACGGCCAGACCCCCCCAGCCTGTGCATCCCTGACGTAGCTGCTATTTTTATCTCGCTCATCATTTTTGTTCTGGTAGGATCTGGATACCTCAGGTGCAGGCTGGGTTAGTGTTGTGCATCTGTATCTGCCCCTCAAAGCCCTTTCTAGGCCTTCCGAGACCCTTGAGCACCTCCCAGGACTGACAGAGGGAATGTGGAGTCACAGTTGGGGACATGGATGCCCCCAAACTGCTTGGAGCAGCTCCGGAAAAGACTGAAAGTAGCTAAATCCACACTCCTCCACCTGTTGGAATCTTGACTCATTTTCTGCTGCTGGGTTTCTGTTGGGATTTTTTTTATCCAGCCAGGGCAGGGAGGTGTCTGATCCCAGGAGCCGGGGTCAGACGCTGTAATCAGAGCCCCGTGTGTTGCATAAAGGAGGGTTTGCCTTTGCTGTGCCCTGGGTGAGAGCTCAGCCCTTTGCCCAGCACACCTGCCTGCCCACATGGCCATGTGTTCGGGTGGTTTGTGGGTGTTTGTGTGTTCCCTTCCCCGGGGTCCCTTGAGCAGAAATCGGGGCGTTTCTCAGTTCTGAGTTACCACAAGAGCAACATCAGCATTTAGGATGTGAAAGCGCTCGTTGGGGTTATTTCTGCTCTTCTCACAGGACCCAAACCTCGTCCCCCACCAGTCCTCTTGTCACCACCCCTGCCTCGAAGCACTTCCCCCTGCCCACCCTGGAGCAGGGAAAGGAGCCAGGTCCCTTCCAGGCTGCTCAGAAGGGAGGAAGGTGAGAGGGGACAGGGCAGCACCGCAGCTCTGGGTTTTCCCTGGTGCAGCTGGAGGGGGGACAGAAGCGAAACTGGGCGCCCTGAGCCTCCTCCCCCTGCCCACGGGCTCTGCCAGGTGCTTCCTGCCCTCGTTATCTGCCGGCAGGGCATGGGAAGGACGGGCTCTTTCAGCCCTGCCGAGGCCAATCCGGCACTCCCTGGGCGCAGCCACACTCGCTGTATCTGGGCAGACAGAGCCGGCAGCGCCCAGACCCACCCTGGGAACGGGGGGAGGAGGTGCAGGCCCGGGGGTGCTCCCTCACCTGCGCTGCCCCAGAGCCTGGATGAGCTACCCAGGATCCACCAGAGCCGTAGGAACTCTGCGAGCACGTGGCCTGGCAACGGGGAGGTGATTTGTGGGGTTTGGAGGGGTTGGTGCTGTGCCAAGCCTGCGGCGTTTTGGGCTGGGGCGCTTCCAGCGCGCTCCAGCATCGCTGCTGCCTGTGCCAGCAGCCTCTGGCACCACCAAACCCTGGCATTCCCAGTGTTTGCTGCCACAGTGGAGCCCCCACACCAGCCCTGCACCCCACAGGGTTGAGCCAAGCCTTTCCCCAGCCCCCGGGGCATGACCAGGCACCGGGTCAGGATCGGTGTTGGCACATGGGCTCCTGGTGGATTCTGTCCCTTGGCTGGGATGTTGGAGCGATTCCCGGCTGGAGACTGCCCTCCCTGTCTGCCCTTCCTCCTGACAGACCTTCCACTCCCTCCTCTTCCCTGGCCCAGCTCTCTGGCCTCCCTTTGCCCCTGCACAGTGGCCGTGGCCAGACCTGGAGCTCTCCAAGGCCACGACCCATCTCATCCACCCCCGAGCACCCCAACAGCCTCACACCCCCCCGGGACCCCCAAACCAGCACCGAGGAAAAGGCACCAACCACTCTGCCTTCCCAATCCTTGCTAAAAACTGAGCCACCTGATGGAAAACCCCCCTCCTTCCTCCCCAGAGGTCACGGGCAGATGCGGGTGTGTCGCAGCCGCCGTCGCCCACTCGCCTCCCCCGCGGCGGCTGCTCTTGGAGGGGCTCCAGTGGCAGATGGGGCGGGCCACCTAATGCCGGCCTGAAACAAAAAAACCTCCCCCCAAACAACCACAAAACCTGTCGGCAGCTCCAGCCCCAGCCTTGGCTCTGTTCCCTGCCTGCTCCCTGCCTCCCGTGCCAGCTTTTGGGCAGGAGTGGACGTGGGGCGGGCACTGCGCAGAATTCCAGAGAGGAAGAGGGGAAGGGGGTCCCCAAAAGGGAGTGGGGGGCTGCTGCTGCTGCCCCCTGACCCTGGCAGGGGTCAGGGATGGGGGGCACCCTGGGAGAGGTCATCCCCCCTCGAGGTGGGCAGCTGGAATGGGACAGAAGTGGGGTCTGGGGAGGGATGGCCCACCCTGGCCCTGCAGTGGGTCCCCACACCTCCCCACTCCTGGGGGGTCACCGAGGGGTTTGGGGGTCCCGGGGGCCAACTCACCCCAGCCACTCCCCTGCTGTGAGAGCCTGGGTGAGGGGCCAGTTGGGCAGGGGGAGAGGAGCCACTTGAGCTGCTTTTCTGTTTCCACTGAGCATCCCATGGGGAGAGCCAGCCCCATCCCCACCCCATCCCCATTCCCATCCCCATCCCAACCTCATCCCCACCCCATCCCCATTCCGGCCCCTCCTCAGCGGCTGCTCCCGGCGCTGGGGCCGCTTCCAACGCTCCCATTTATGACCTGGTGGGGATAAAAGGGGCTTGTTGGCGGCAGCAGCAACTGGTGTGCGGGGCCAACTGTTGCCATCTGTCTGCTGGGGCTGGGAGGGGGAGCCCGGCGGGGCCGGGGCCGAGCCGGGGCCGCGGTTTTGTTTCTCCTTTCATGCACCACTAAACTTTGCACCTTTTGTTTCCCAGAGAAGGGCTGAGAGCCGGGAGAAAAGAGGCCTCAGCGCCGCACGGGTCAGGGCAGAGCTCGCTCTGCCCGCCGGGGGGGTTGTGTACGACTCCTATTCTGTATTGTAACAGTAATTACTGTGGTTTGAGGGATCTGCCGGGGTCGGGCAGCGGTGCTGAGCCCCCTCCACCCCAGCCCTGTGCCACACCCCGGGAGAGAGGTGTCCTGACATGTTCAGTGCCACAGCGGGCAGAACCTACTGCTGCTGGTGCTGGTGTGTGCAGCCCTTGGGGACCCCAGGCTGGGTGGCCTTGGAGTGACAGCCGTGCCCTGGCACCCCTGAGGAGTGCTGTGCCCTCATCCCCAAGGGATGCTGCGCCCCCATCCCCAAGGAACACCACGCTCCTGTCCCCAGCTGAAGCTGTGCTCCCCTCCCTGGCAGTGGCAGTGAGGAGAGGGCAGGGCACAGGCAGCAGGATGGTGGGAGCAGCCAGAGGCTGCATTCACTTCCCTGGGGGCAGTTTTCCTTCCCCTGGAGCTGTGTCTGGGATGGGAAGGCAGAGCCCGGGGCAGATCCCAGCCCTGTGTGAGCCTCAGCAGCTGCCGGGGTTTGTTCAGAGCTTTGAGTCCCTGCTTTGCTCGGCATCTGCTTCCTGCTGGGCCACGTCCCTGGGCCCAGCCTGGAGCTGATGGCTGGGATGGGCCCTGCCTGTCTGGGGGAACATGTTCCCAGCTCCTGGGAGCACCAGGGGGCTCATGGGGCTCCCCCCTCTGCCACATCTCCAGGAGTCACCCCAGGAGTGTCCCATGGGCTGCATCCAAACCCCACAGGTGCTGTGTGAGGTGCTGCGTGTCCCTTGTGCATCTCCCCTCTTCCCCTGGATACTAAAGCTCTGGAGAATCCCAGCCAGTCCTGGCTGGCTCTGACAAAGCAGACGGAGGAGGATTTAAGGGTGACACTGGGATCTGTGCCCCAGGACCCACCAGCTCGTGTAGGGATGTTTTGGGGCATCCAAACATCCCAACATCCAGGCTGGTACCTGTCCCATCCCCTCTGCAAGGGCCACTCATCCCTGAGGGTATGCCTTGCCTGGCACAGCAGTGTCCTGCTCCACAGGGATGGGGCAGCTCTCGGTGTCACTGCGGGGGGACACAACACCCAACAACAACACCCGCTCCTTTGGGGAACCTCCAGGAGATGTTACTGGGAACCAGTTGGAGTAAACAATCTCCCTGAGCTCCCAATCCCGGCGTTCCCAGCTGCCAGACGAAGGGCGAGGCCCCTTTCCCTCTGACAATGCCCTTTTACCAGGCAGTTTGTGCCTATTATAGCACAGGATAAAACCGGGAAGGGGAAGGGCTGAGGGAGCAGCTGCCCCGGCTGACTCGGGCGCTGCTTTGTTGTCATTAAAAGGCTGGATTGGGATGGGACGCGGCTGTGGGGGCTGTGGGCCTCCCTCAAAGCTTGTCCCCCTACCCCAGCCCCCACGGGGGGATTCCACAGAGGGTCTGGCTGAGATCTGCCCCAGCAAGTTCCCCTCTGGGTGGTCAGCACAGACCAGGGCGCGATTTTGAGGGGCAGCCCAGGGATGGGGAGCCTGCCGGGGGTCGGAGCTCTGCCGGGCTGAGAATTCCTTTTCCTTCCTTTCCCCCTTTGGAATGAGTTTGGTGATGGGGTCCATCACCATCTCCAAGGCTGTGCCCATGGATCCCATGGATGGTTGTGGTGTCAGATCAACACCCCCCCTCCCAGTGCCAACCCGAAATCCTGCTGGGGCAGGAGGAGGGAGAGGAGCGATGCTGAGCCTGTGCCCCCCAAACCCAGACCCACCCCGTGAGTCCCCGGGGCTGTGCCAGCCCCCAGCAGCTTTAGGGGCCGTGGCAGGGCTGGGCTGTGGGGGCCACGCTGCCTTTTGGAGCAGAGACAAAGCCCGGCTTGATATTTATGGCACGTGCGGCGGGAGCGTGGGGTGAGCGGGGCTGGGGACAGATGGCCGGGGAACAAAAGGGGAGGCAAGAATGGGAGCTGAACAGATTGGGAATTTCCTGCCCAAACCTCTGCCCTGTGCCCAGACGCTTCTGGGGACGTGTGGGGAACAAGGACACCTCTCCCCAGTGGTCCCCCCAAAAGGTTCAGTCCCTTCAGGGGGATGGGCCCCCACGTGCTCCAGTCCCCAGGCTACTCATCCTCCCAGAGTGGGTGGAGAGAAAAATCCTGAGACCCCAAATCCCAAACTCCCAGCTCTTGTTACTCCTGATGTGGGGCTGTGAGAGCAGGACCCCTCGTTCATTCCCCCAGGGCTCAGCCTGTTCCTCTGTGCAATGGGGGTAGGGGGTGTCCCTGTGCCCGGGTGTCCCGGGGTGTCCCAGGGCCCCTCCCCGGCGTCTTTTCCCGCTGCCTCCACAGTTTTCTTATCTCTTCCCAGCAACGTGGCAGCTGCTGCGGCCAGAGCCCAGCAGCTTATTAATAATCAACTTTTATTGCCGGCCCCGGCACGGCCGCACATGGCCCGGGGTGGCGGCGGCCCCGGGTCCCGCCCGCCCGTCCCTTTGTCCCCGAGACTCCCCCAGACAGCCGAGGGTTTGGGTTAAATCCGAGAAGAATTAAGCAAAGGGAAGCACTGGAGGACGTGACACTTCCCTGGGCCGGGGCTGCAAACACTCCCACGCTCAGTTTGGGGCACGGGGACGTGTCCAGAGATTGTGTCCCTTGGGTGGGTGAGGGGGGTTCTGCTCCACCCAGGGCCCCTCTGGCAGCGTTGGGGCAACCCTAGAACCTCCTGCCTTGCTGCTGCTTTTTTTTTTGTGTGTGTGTGTTTCTCCAAAGGAAAATATTTTCGAGGGGTTGTTTTTAAACAGAAATTTGCACTTCCTGAGGAAACATCCTAAAGGGATGTTTACAAACAGTCTGGGAAGTGTTGGAGCTGAGGGATGATGCAAAGGAGGGAAAAATAAAAAAGCAAGGGGAGGAATTAGAATTAGAGAAAAAAGGTGGAAAGAAGTGGAGATGGAGTCTGGGGGGCTGCAGGGGAGCTCTGGAGAAATCCTGCCTGACCCCATAGGGGGCACCCAGTGGGAGCTGCTGCTTTTTGGTGTCTCGTGCAGGGACAGCCCCGAGGTGGGTGCCCAGGTCTGAGCCCCTCCGTGGACACGGGGTGATGGAGAGAGGCCCTGGGAGAACCCCCCAGTCCAAATGAGACCTTGAGGGGCTGCAGCTGCTGGTCCCCCCTGCAGCAGCCCCCCAGAGCCCCCTGCTCAGGGTTCACCTTCAGGGGGGCTGGGGAAGATGGTTTTTGGGTCAGTTTGGGGTTTCCCCCTTCTTTACCCTGCTCTGTGGACCCGGACAAAGCCCTGCACTCCCCCCCCCCCCCCCTTCCTGGTGGGATTCAGGCTGCTGGGGCCCCCCAGACCCCACACCTCCTCCCAGCAACAGGAGGAGGAGGAAGAAGGGGATGAGGAGGGGGGCCAAGCCCCCTTCCCTGCCATTCCCACCCCAACAAGGCAGAGATTGGGTGCCTGTGGGCTCAACCAGGACCAATGAGGTCTCTCCCTTTCTTTTGGGGAGGAGGAGAAGCAGGGCAGGGGGCTGCCGTGACCCTCTGCCCCCTCACCTCCCCCCAGCTGGTGTAAATCAGCAATCCCATGGCCCTGCCTGGAGAAAGCAGCTGCTGGAGGAGCACTGGAGTGGGATCTTCTGGCCTCCCTTTCTGCCTGGCTCCTGCAGGAGCTGTGGCTGGAGCTGGGGGGCTGCCCCCAGCCAGGGACCAGGGATTTTTGGGGAGCCCAGCTCCTGCATCCCACAGAGTGCCCGCAGGCTCTGCCTCCCCAGCTGCTCCCAGCCTGGAGCCAGAGGAGCCCATGGGCTGGGAAATGGAACTTTCTGGTCCCCTCCGTGTGAAATTACCATTTTTTAAGCATCCTCCAGCTCAGTCGTTAAAAACCAGCGGGGCTGAAGCCCGGAGAACACCCGGAAAACAACACCCAGCGGTGCCGCCCTCCCTCCCTCTCTCCGCTGACACTTTTCCTGGTGTATTTTCCCCTCCTATGAATGTCCTCGCAGGGAACCCGCCGGGATGCGGTGGAGCTGCAGCTCCGCGGCGCGGGGAAGGCTCCGTGCGCATTTGCCATGCCTGGGACAGCCACTAGTCGGCAATTCCAGCCTGGATTGTGGCTGGAAAAAGACGTGGCCTGCGAGAGGGGAGGCTGCGGTGCTCGGGCTCCTCAGACGCGCTCGGTGCAGTTTGGGAAGGGCTTTATTGGTGGGTTTGGTGCCTACAGTTCATGCCGGGAGGGTACAGGGTCTCGGGGGGGTTTTTGCTCTTCGCATGCAGGTAGAACGCGGAGGGTCGGGGTGACCCCTGCAGGTCATCCCCAAAGCTCAGCTGCCCCTTTGGCCCTCGGGCTGAACTGCCCAAGGGTCCGACTTGGGTGGTTTTGGCTTTTGGCGGATTCAAACGTGCTGTGGGAGCCCGCGGTGCCGCGGGAATTGATTTTTTTTTTTTTGCTTTTTAATTGGGGTACCTCGGCTGCCTGGGCAGGGAGGGAGCTCAGAGCCAAGCTGGGGGGTGCCCAGGCAGCTGAGAGTGACAGCACCAGGAATTCTCACATCCCTCAACCCCTGTCCTGCTCTGATCCACTGGGCTGGGAGGAAGATTTGAGGCCTGTAACCAGGCTGTTCTTCAGGGCATTTCTCTCTGACTCCAGCAGCAGGAAAGGTTTCTCTCCTTTAATTCTGGAGCAGGAGGCTGATGGAAGGAGGGGGAAAATGGAGGGGAAGGAGTGGAATTGCTCTTCCTCGTCCCAGACTGAGGGATGCTTCAGACTGATATTTTAACCCTTTACTCCTGCAGCTCCCAACCTCCTGGATGCTTCTCCCGTGGCCAGGGGGTTCAGAGCTGCTGGTTCTGCAGGACCCCCCACCTGAACCCCCCCCACAGGGGTTGGATGCTCAGGGCCAGGTTTGGGAGGTGGGATGAGCCCCATCCCCACTGCATCCCCCCCAGTCCGGGGGAGAAGGTGTGTGGGGGGGTGGCTGTGGTGGGGTCAGAGAGGGGTCGGTGCTGGGATCCGTCCCACCCTGCGTGGCTGGAGAGTCAGGAAGAGGAAGAATTCTGGGAAGAAGAAGA